CTTGGCACTACAACATTATCACGAGAATATGATGAGGAAGCAGAAAATAAGGCCAAAATAATGAAGATGATAAGTTGTCCTATGTAAATCGCCATTTGTAGCAATAATGTTTACTGGTATATAATGCGAGTTTTAGGTTTCCTTTATATAGAATATTACTCCCTCCGTTCCTAAATAAAGTTCCTCTTTCGTTTTTTCTTTGTCCCTAAATAAACTTCTCTTTTCCCTTAAAAAACCCCTTTTATCCCTTACTTTTTCATACCCTACCTACAGGCCCGCCCATTAGCAAGTTCCATAGGTGCAATAGAACAGGGCTTCTAAAATATAGGAACTTCCTTCGCATCTTCCCAATTGCGATTCTTCCTCTTTTAATACAGAAAATAAACCATCTTCCTTTGCCGATTAATTCCTCAACTTCTTCTTTTTTGGTGAGTTCTTAATTTTTATGTCTCTGTTTTTTTTCTTTCAAATTGACGTGCTACTTTCATCCTCTCAATGAAAATTCAATTTGCTGGTTTTTTGTGTGCACGGAAGTCAATTTAGGTGGTTTAGATTTGTTTGAAAATTATTTTAGTGTTAGAAATCTATATTTATTTTGCATCTTAAAATCTTAAATGATTCATTTTATCGTTTAATTGTTTCTTAATGTTATAAATTAGTGTTTCTTATTTAATTTTGCAAGACCAGTAGTTTAATTCTAACTTTGGTTTTAATCATTGATTTTTTTTTTTTGAGTTGCACAGGGCCACCTTAAATGATTGGGCGGCACTGCCTACCTATCACATCATACATTTTTACTAATAATCTACCTATCACATCTTACTTTAACACATCACATCAAGAGTATTTTTGGAAAGTCAACACCAAAATATTCTTCTCTTAAATCCTCTAAAAGTAAAAAATGGAACTTTATTTAGGTACGGAGAGAGTATTAATCTCGCAGCTTGGTTTGGTTAATATATAGATGGAGCACACAATAGTTGGAAGCAAAAACTTCTCCCTCGAAGAAAGAAAAAATGATGAGAGAGAGAAACAGGGAGAGTGAATGGGGGGGGGGGGGGGACAAATTGGCAGGAAGGCCGGCAGGTTGACCGGAAACAGGTGCAACCAAAGGATCGGAGAGGAAAATCACAAGAGGGAGAAGGTGGACTTGGAAGCAAAACTAGCACACCAGGAGGGAGCTGAGATCGATCGAGGCGATCGAGACGGGGAGCAGTGGCACGAAGGACAGGGTGCGCATATTATTATGTCCTTCAGGGACATGGTGCTGGCAGGAGCACTTCCGGCCGGTCCGCGGTTCATTGTTGATCACTCCCTTAGGGACCGGCAATGCCGCCCTGTTGTTCAGGGGAAACAATGCGACAGTCTTGCCCCCTCCTCTTACCGGCCTACTATTATAATACTCCCTTCCTATATTAAAAAAAAGTATAATTTTAAGTTTATTTAAATTTATTTTATTTAAAGATTGATTTATGAATAAAAAAATGTACTCCCTCCGTCCTAAAATCATTTTCCCATTGTTCTTTTTTCTCCATCCTAAAATCATCTTCCCACCCACCTTAAATGGACATGTAATGACTATAATACTCCTAAAATATTTATTACACCACCCACCCCATTTACGCAACTCAGGCCTTATCTTCATCGCCTACTCCTCACTCTCTCATTCTGAACTTATCTCTTCTTCTCCTCCGTTCTCACACTTCTCTCCCTCCTCTTGTTAGAATAATAATAATAACAATAATTTCTATTTATGGTAGAAAGGTAAGTTCTATCGATCCGTAGTCGGACCTGCTATGTTATATGGGGCAGAGTGTTAGGCGGTTAAGAAGACTCATGTGCGTCGTATGCATGCGGCGGAGATGCGGATGTTACGATGGATGTGTGGGAAGACAAGGTTGGATAGGATTTCGAACGAAGTTATCCGACGTCAGGTAGGCATGACGCCGGTGGAAGATAAGTTGCGGGAAGCGAGGTTGAGATGGTTTGGTCATTTGAGACAGCGGGATGCTGACGTCCCTGTACGGAGATGCGAGAGGATTACGGTTATCGGGGAAAGTAGGGGAGGGGGTAGACCTAGGAAGAATTGGAGGGAGGTGATTAGGCAGGATTTAGGAATCCTCACCCTGACTGAGGATATGACCTTAGATAGGAACCTTTGGAGAACTAAGATTAGAATAGCTGGATAGGAGCTCGGCGTTGTAGAGGTTGTTTGTAGTATGTCGTGTTTGTTTTGAATCTTTTGCTATTGCTTGTACTTGTTGCTTGTACTTGGCTCTTTACCCGTGCTATACTGTGTTCCCTTCTATATTTTTGTGCAAGTTGAGCCGGGGGTCTCTTGGAAACAGTCTCCCTACTTCCGAGTAGGGGCAAGGTCTGCGTACACACACCCTCCCCAGACCCTAGTAGGATTCAACTGGGTTGTTGTTGTTGTTCTATTTATGGTAGAAGTAGTGTTATAGTCAGTTTCCTTTATTATTGGTTCCTATGTGTGTAAGGAATTATACCTATATATGGCTTGTACATCTTGATTATTACTTGATTAATACAGTTATTTCATTATTACAATATGGTATGGGAGCTTGGCCGAAGAAAGAAAGAAAGAGGGCCGCCGATAGTCTTGCTAAATTCATCGCCGTCTTCGCCCACATCGTCTCCTTTCTTGGCCTGTCGCCCCTCTCTACTCTTGTGCAGATCTCTGTTGCCCGATCCAAAAGATCTGATTGCACCGCTACAGTGCCTCCATCTTCCCCGTTCATCGGCTCTGTTCGCTGTTCTGCCGACCGGAGTTTCGCTGATCGGATAGCACCACATCAAGGTTTTGTTTCTGCCTCATCAAGGTTTTGTTTCTTCGGCTAAATCCTTCTCTGCTCTTCATAAGGGTTCGTTGTTCCCAATCTGTCGATTTTGCTCTTCATCAAGGCTCTAGGTTCTGTTTCTTCTCTGCCAAAAAAAGGAAAAAGAATCGAGCATTAATTATCATGTCAGCCGCCAAAGATCCCTTTGATGCACTCCCAGGGGGGATGCGATTGTTCTTACGCAATCTTCATTCCCTGGTTCTGGTAAAACTAGAAGACAATAATTATCCCTCTTGGTTCTCTACAGTTAAGGCTACGTTGATTGCACGTCGTCTACTCGGTTACATTGACAGCACAGAGCATGTACCACCGCCGACCATTGTTGATGAGAAAGCTTCATCTTCTACCGACAAAGAACCTGTTATGAAGGTCAATCCTGCCTATGATCAATAAACTATTATTGATGCCCAATTGCGGGCCTCTTTCTTGCTCTTCTCTCTCCATCGGTTCAGAATGTGGTCCACCAGTGTCCAACGGCTGCTAACCTTTTGGGATAAACTTCACCAGAGGTATAATTCCCTATCCCGCACACATATTTTTCAACCCAATGATCAGCTTCACAATTTGCGAAAAGGACAATCCACAATGCAAACATACTTGGATGATGTTCTTAAAATTGTTACCGACCTGGCTTTGGCACGAGAACCTATCCCTGAGCAGGATCTTATTCTCAATGTTTAACGCGGTCTTCCTCAAGAATATGGCCCTATTAAACAGAATATTCGTTGTAATCTTGTGGCTCTCACTTTCAATGAAGTCTCTTCCTTGTTACTCTCCGAGGAATTGAATCTCCAACTTGAGCAAAAGTTGCAGCTTGGTGCACCTTCGACGTCCACCCCTGATATTCACACAACCCTTTACACCTCGAATAGGCGAGGTGACCGTGGGCGTGGTCGTGGCAGAGGCAGGTTTACTGGGGGACGAGGGATGCAGTTGCAGCTCCACATTGCGTAACACATTCGTTGCTCCTCAACTTTCCCTTTTCTACGGCAGTCCGCAGATTCATTCATTCAAACAAGTCGTCAGACAAAAAAAATCGGTTTGGAGTAAATCAAGTATGAAAACAAAAAAAGAAATCCTGGATTTCCGCAAGAAATAAGAACAAAAAAATAATTATATATATATTCCAATTAAATCCATGGACAGATGGTTCTGAACTCATCTACAAAATTGCATCTTCACCGCACTTGCATTTTTACCCGACATTTAGTTTTGGGACTCATGGGAGCCTCTAGGCAACCAATAACATCGGCAGACAACAATACTTTAGTGATGCAGTTGCAGCTCCACATTACGTAACAGATTGGTTGCTCCTCAACCTTCCCTTTTCTATGGCAGTCCTCAGATTCATTCATTCAAACAAGTCGTCAGACAAAAAAAAGACAGTTTGGAGGAAATCAACTATCACTACTACAGAATATACATTACACAGCGGATAAATATTGCTTTTCCCATCGGAAAACAGTCGCTGTCCATGCAAGCGATGGGAAAGCTCTCATGTTTACGCAGCACATATTTATCCGACGTGTAAACTTTACGTAACGCTTATTTATTCGATGTGTAAACTTTACACATCGGATAATATATGCGATGGGTAAATATTACACAGCGAATAAATATGCGCTGTGTAAACTTAACACATCGGATTAATATGCGTTGGGTAAATATGGGAGCTTTCACATCGCTTGCATAGACAGCGACTGTTTTACACTTTACACAACGGACAAATATGCGCGACGTAAACTTTATATAGCGACAAAATATTCGATGTGTAACATGATGATGTTTAAGCATTAAAACTTCTTTCCCATCGGATGAATAATTTTTTTAATGAGAAAATATATTTATTTAATGTGCAAGATTGGAATATATAAAACAAAACATATTTTATTAAAAAAGTATAAAATAAAATACATGAGGGGAGGACCAAACCAAAGCCCCTCCATAAATAGCAAGAATGTAACATAAGTTTAAAGTGAGCCAAATAACTAATGCTTGCTAAAATATAGTACTCAAGCCAAAATAATTGTTTTTTGCAAAAAAATAAAGCTAGCTAGTGTCATATACTTTGCCAACACTTCATGCAATGGCCTGAAAGTCATAAATCCAATTGCTCCTTAACTCATTTGATCGATCATAAGGATATGGAGCACCCCTATATTCCAAGCTTGCTACAAACTTTAAATAAACCCTTCTTCACCACCAAAATCTACAAATTAAAAAAATTAAATCAATCTTAAATCAATCTTTCTCTAAAGGCATATCTTCATCAACAAAAACTAAAATGACATTTTTTTAAAGAGGAAATGAGCATATCCAATAGATAAAATAATGCTGGAGAGTAGCACACATATTGAATTGAAACATCATAGCATAACTTATTAACATATGTCATGTAGTTCAAATGATTTAAGTAGATCGAGGAGCTAAATATTCAATATGTACATAGAATTCTTAAAATAACTTGCCCATTAAAATAAAAGGTAAAAATGTTTCATTGGATAGAATTCAGCTATATGTTGGTAAACTGAAATTAAGTCAAGTAATATTCTAAGCAAGAGGGGGGGGGGCTAGAGACCAAAATAGTCATACTACATAACCAATGCAATTGATTTACAAGCATATATACCTTTGATTTACAAGCATATATACCTGGAATGAGCTCAATGACATCATTTTTGACCATAGGTAGTTAGCTGATCATACTTTGAATTGAAATGAGCACAAAACAATGATCTCATTTCATTGATTTCTTTCTTTAGAAAAGGTGAAGCCCCATTACTGTAAATCTGTACAACATAAGTTTGAATAATAATTTAATGTGATAGATGATTATAATTTATGATATGCAGAAAATGAAAACCACTAGATGTCATAATCACTT